ATATTAGCTAGAAAGGAAAAGTCGAATAAGGGGCAACTGAATCTTACGGGCAAATTGGAGGACCAAAGAGAAGCGTGATTGGCTTATTCTGAAATGAAATCACTCTTAGTGAGGGGTAAAGAGAATGAGTGAAAATAAGGGAAATGCGTTTTCTAAGACACCAGGATGGTTTGACGTATCACCAAATATGTTCAACAGAGGAACAGAAGAAACAGAAATAGCTCCTTCCTGCCAGTGGACCACAGACAGCCTTCTAGGTGTCAGACACGGGGCAAGGAGCTTCACGCGCGTTCCAACAGGTGGACAGAAAGTTTCAAGAGGTGCCAGAATAAACACGGTTTGACAACCACACATATCCCTGGACCCTCCTTAAGATGAAGCAATGCAGTTAATAAAATTGTATGAAATTCTAAACCTGAGGGAGTAGACCGACATTTCTGTACTACAGGACCCAATTACAGAGTGAGAATCAGTGGCAACAGATTAGGGAAGGTCTCAACATAAAGTCCTACAAAAGAATAAACCCTTAAACCACCGCACCCCGATGTTATAACTTAAAAAAAAAAGGAAGGAACACAAATTCATAGCAATCTAGTCCCAAACTAGAAAACAGCAAGAACGTTTGCATGAAAAGTCTAAACATGTGCACCAAACACATAAATCATATTTTCAAGTAGGAAAAGGACAGTCTAGTCTTACCTTATTGCTGCAAAAGGCTGGAATGAAAATTACTGACTTAGAGAAGCAACTTTCACATATACCTGAACATCAAACACAACACACAATATAAAATAAAAAATAACTAGAACCAAAAAGTTTTCAGTCCGACCTTAAAAATGCTGAGCAAATCACTAGATGAAGCCAGATCAAAAGGAAGGCCATTACCCCAGCTTGTAGCCATATGTGAAAGGGCCCCAAATGCACAGGGCACAGATGGTATATGATGGGGAGGAGGGGGCACAGGCCGATCCAAAACATAAGGCAAATAAACCTGCTTCAACTTACACAGGTAGGTTAGTTCGAAAGAATGAAGAAGTCTGAATGCAACTAAGATTTTAAATTGGGGACAAATGGTGTTGCTGGATGTCCCAAGCTACAGTGTGCTTACTGGTTTAAGCTCTGAAAGCCTTTTGTGGCACCAGCTCAATGAAACTGAAATGTCAGTGAGGAGACATACAAAGGGATGGTGACATTATTAGCCGATTACTGACAAGACAGTTAAAGTTTTTTAAAACCCATACAATGACTATAAGCCATATTACCTGATTATGGTCTAAGAAATTTGGGTGGGTGGGGGATTTCATATCTGCTCACAAAATTAATAGCTCTATTTGAAAGTAGAAACCTTATAACTTCACTAAGATGCTCCAAGTCCTTTAATATTCCCCATTCATCATTAATGTAAAGTGCTAAAATTAAAACTGTCACCTCCTGAAACCTTCATTAAAAGTCACTACTTCGTATGTAAAAAAAAAAATTCTATACAAAACTCAGATATGCCCATATTTACTTCATGCTGTCCCTCTAATGCAAAGTTGTCAGTTTAATAAATCTCAATTGTTCCAAAGTAAAAGTTTAAGAAAAATTCTCTGGCTTCAACATTAGAAGTTGATATTGTCATACAGAAATCATGCACTTCATTAAATGAGCTGATCACGTTTTTTCAGGCAGCAACCAAATCCAGAACGTTTCAACAGAGATTTCTTCAACCTTATGATTTCGGAAGGACACAAGAGCATAGAATATCCAAAAGGCAATTTTATTGGATATTCTAATAAGGTACATTCAACACACACATATACAATGGGACTCTTAAATTTTAGTAGCAATGATGAACAAAATAATATCGACTGTACAATGACTTTTGCTTATCATTCATATGGTTTAGGGAATACTTACTTGATTTTTTGATACTTCTATGTATTAAGGAATCCTTCCAGTTTAGTAACAGCTTTGCTAAGCTACGTCTAGGAGTGACAATTAATTTTAGTGGAAATTCATTCCCAGGCTACTCAGATAGTCATTTGAACAGTTTTGCGTTATTTTACATCCAATTTTATAGCTCTATAACGTTCATTTAATCTTGTTCAATGAGGCTGAACCCCAGATGCCATAAGACATTATAGAAAAGTAGTTACTGCACATATGGGGTAACTACTTTTTCTGAACATTAATTTCTTTTCTCTTAACAGGCTGAAATGGTATTTAGAAAAGAGAAAAGCCACCACTCTGTATTAAAGGTTTTATATTATGCACTTCTGGAGATGGGCAAGCTATTACTGCTTGTGGTCCTGGCCATCAAGTTCTTACTTACGAGCATCATCTTCTCAAGTCTTAGAAATAATGGCTTTCTCCAGCCTTCAGAAGGTTGTGGGTATTACACATTCGAATCCGGTCACCTGAGAGAGCTTGGGGGGAGGTGGTGGGAGTGGCTCCTCGCTTGTCCTACCTGAGGATTGGAGATACTCAGGGGTTCTCGAAGTGGGGGTCTGAGGACAAACCACATCAAAGCCACTGGGGCACTTGTAGGGAGTAAAGAAGGCAGGTCTCTAGCCCTCCCACACCTACCAAATTGGAAACTCTGGGTTTGGGATGGAGAAATCTGCATGTTAAGCAAGCACCCTGGTGATTCTCCTGCACTGGTGGATGATCTCGAAGGTCCCTTCTACTCTGAAACTCTCACGAGCCTGTGAGTTTTCTTTTAAAACCAGTCATGTCAGCCAGATCTATAAAGCAACAGAGTGACTTTGAGCCTGAATGGGTTCACCTAGATAAGATGTGTTCTTAGATTCTGACATGTATATACAAGTAGATGGCAGAGACAGAACACTCTAATCAGATGTGTAAGGAGTCTATTTGGGGCTTTTTCCCCTCACGGGAGATGTAGAAGGAGACCCCGCTCTAACCCAGGAGAATGGGTTCAAAGGGGTTTTTCACTGCACTCCCATTCCCGTCTGTCCTCTTCACTGTCTTGACTCCTCTCTGCTGCTACGCATTTACCATCGTGAGTCACCAAACTCTTAAGTAACTTCCTATCGGTCTGCACATACTTTTAAGAAATAAAACTACCATCGCTTCTTGGCCTTTTGGCTAAGATCAAGTGAAGAAATAAACTACTTACAGGCAGTCCTCTACTTTCATTTGTAATGATTGAAATGTGACAGCAACATCAATACAGGAAACGTGAACAGGAGACTTAACATTTTTAAAAGGGAGTTTCATATTTAGAAAGCTAAAAAAAAAAAGAAAAGAATCACACTCTAATTTTACATCTCCCTTTGGGCATGATATTTGCCCAATTTGATGAAATATTTCTGGTATTTCCTATATGTTAGTTTATTTCATTCCTTCTTTTCATAAAGCGCTTGGAAGCTCAATGAGCGCCTAAGACTTGAGACTTTTTAAAGCACATACAGAGTGTTCTCTCTTTGACACATTTTTATTAGGTAGGAGAACTAAACTCCTACTGGTGGTATCTCATCAAATTTTTATAAAACCGCAAGAGCAATATGCAGGAGAATATTAAAGTAATTACACAAACATAACTGGATGAATTACACTGCTGAGTCAGAACCTTTGGCTGGAAGGCAGCGCCACCATGTGATGGCTCCACGTGCCGTCAGTTCTGTCTAAGTACAGAAGTTGGGGTCCTCTAAGAGTTGGGGACCTTATAGCAAAGACCCACTTCCTGTAATAATAAGGTGATTTTCAAACGCTAAACTGTGACACTGCTTCAGTCACTGAGGATGAGAGGGAGAAAATGGGAGCTGTTTATAACAAGGACACCCAATTATGTAGAGGTAGACCAGGAGCCAGATCAGATCAGACATTTCATGCTTGATCGGGGTGACCTGTTCTGGGGTTAGAGTGACAGACTGTAGTGTTCCCTGTTTAAGGGAGCCTGGGCTGGGCTGCAGCCTGTTGGCTTCAATGCCCGCCTCTGTCATGCTGCCTAGTCCCCTGTCCTTTCACTAAAGACAGTCTCTCTGTTGGTGGAGTATACATTGTGTCTAGTGGACCCAATTATACGCAAAGTTTCTCTTAAGAACAAAGTCTTGTGACTGTGTGTATGACGCAGACATGAGCTAAATTCAAGAGAGTAGAGGAGGTTAGAGTTCAGTTAAAGTCACTTCAAGTTTACTAGAATTGTGTTTTCGTGTTTTTTCTCAGACCGCTGTATCATGAATTGAATACACATAGTCTATTCAATGGACATGTTCTCTGTAAAGTATGCCCTCACTGCAGAATGTGGAGAAGTGATGAGGGCAGAGGAGGAAATATTAAAATGGAATAAGTGAGCACTTCAGAAGGCACTTAGAAAACTGAAATACAGACAGGTTACTTTAAATGGGTATTATCCGTCCTTATTTAAGGGGTATAACTTCCCTGAATGTAAGCAAGCACGTGAGATCTGGCAGCCTGGAGACGAATGGGAAGAGAAAAAGCGTACTGAGTTCAGTCAGAGCCCTGGCTCCGCATCACAGACCTTGAGGAATCACAAAGCCCAGAAACGGAGCGCTCTGGCTTCCGGATGGCTCTCTGCAGAGTCCGGCTACACCTGCAAGGACTGGGCTGAAAGACACGCGCATTCCACTGCAAGGGCCCGCTCTCCCCAGCAGTGGGCGAGGCGGGGACGCTGCCCTAACACAGAAGTCACATGCCCCACAAAATATTTCCTTGTATCTCAAAAGAGCATTAGCTTCTTTAATCCAAAAAGGTAATGAGAGGCTTTTAAACTGATTAAATCAGCTTAGTTCATACACTGTCTCTTATGAACTAAATATTCAATTAAAACAATTTCCAAACCGAAATCTGACAAAATCCTCTCTTAGAGTCATTTGGGTGATAGGTCCTTAACTGAGGCAACTTAAATCCTTCTCACAGTTGGTATTTTCCACAGGGTCATAAAGAGTTGCACAAGGTCTCTGGGACAAAAATCTTAACTTTGTGTGTTAAGCCATGTTTCATGATCATAAACAACAGAAACTAGAAAACATTACTGGAAGCCTAACATTCCTATTTCTTTCATTTTATTTTTTACTTCACAGGCTACATACATGCAAAAGTTGAACACGTCATCACAATCCTTTAAATAAAGTTCAAAAATAAAAATACTTCAAAATCCATTTACTTATGGAAATATATATGACAATCATAATGAAGATAAGTCAATTATATCCTTTTTTCTAATCTATCAGAAAAATACTTATATTATAAAAAAAATTTAAATTCATGTCCAGAATATTTTTTTAAAAATCCTTGATGAATAATTTAAAAACAAGTTGGGTGTTAGTACAATGTTTAAAGAGACACGTTCTAGGCTTTTGAAAAATGGGTCTGATAGCCTTATACCTCATTATGAAATCACTGAAGAAACTCAAGTTTAGAAACAAAGCATTTAAAAAAAAATAAAAAACTATGATCACTGTTATTATGGTTGATGTGGTTAGTAATGCAAGTGAAGGGCACAACTTTTATAAACAGATATTGTTTGAAGTCCTTTAAAATACTTGAATGGAGAATTTTATATACAAACACAGGTTGGAGGCTGAAAGGAGCCCCACCTCTCTCTGCTAGTTAGTACTGCAAGAGGAATTAAAAATCCTGGGTACGATGAAGTTCTGAGCACACCGCCCTTCTGTGAAGTGTGTAAGCATGCCCAAGCTCCCCTGACACCAGAAAAAAGCCAGCAGGAGGCAGTGTCTTCAACTGGCCCTGCCTTTTTCAGGTAAAAGCGGTAAGAGGCGTGGGCAGAATGGAGAGAGGGAAACTGGAACATTCGGAGCATTCCAGAGGGTGGTCATTTCCTTCTACTAAAACCAGTATTTATTTGGTAACATAATACAACATAGCTCAACAATTCCAAAAATTAGTATGTACAGAATGCATTCAGAGTTCAACTTTGTGAACGTTCACATTCATCTTGAAATGAGATTTAACTTGGGTTCCTACACGGAAAAGGCAGGGGGGAAAGCTGGCCAGGCTGGAGGATGATCGAGAATTGGAAACGACACACAATGTGAGCAGGAAAAGGGGGTCATTTAACAAAACGTGTCTACAATGATTTGGAAAGCCCCAAGTGGTACGCACATCCAAAATTCAGAAGCAGCTTAATTCAAACAATTAAAATAACACCTCCCCTTTAAATAGGAAATTATAAGGTTTCCTATTGAGACAAACACCTTGCTACTACTCTAAGTCTTCTTTTTGCAAAGGCCAAATTGAAGTTCTGGTTAGAAAATATTTCCACGGAGGGTCCAAAGATCTACGGTTTGATTTATATCCTCATACTCAACTGTGATTATAGTTTTTATGTTTGGCAACCCAACTATTATTTTCCTTTCATCTCTTTAAAAAAAAAAACACTTCTTAAAAAGGAGAGAAAAAAAAAAAAGATGTGTGTGCTGTCAGTACAAAATCAGATTAAGTGTGGTTTTTCTTTTCCCTGGGACAGAAAAAACAATGCCCATTGCAGAGTGTGTAGAAATGTGTCACAACAAATAATCAAAAGACAGGTTTCACCAAGCTAGTATTCCTCCGAGTACAGTGTGGTTTTCAAAAGCAGTATTGTCAAGATAATGCATATACTCGTTAACTAGGTACAGCAGAGCTACTTAAAGGGAAACCCATTTCTTGTGCCTCAATGAAAGGGGAGTATAGAAAACAATAATTAGAATGAATGAGGAATTTAAAGGGGCAAAAAAAAAAGGGAGCAAAAAGAACAGAGAATTCAGAAAGCCAAAAAAAAAAAATAACAAAAAAAAAAAACCAAGTAATGTGAAGGCAGAAACCCACACGACCCCCCCCCAACCCCACCTGCCACTTTGAGTCCTAATTGCTCAAACTGCAAGGACAGAAACCCACTCTAAATTGACCAGCATCGGGCTTCGGCAAGTCTTCTCTTCACTCTCCCTCCTGTTAAGACCGTTTCCAAAACCAATCAGCAAAGGACAAAGAATTCTTTACAGAGTGCAATTAGTGTTTTCCACGTCCACCTTCAAAAGCATGGTGCTCTTCATGGGCTAAAGGACAGAAAAAAAACAAAAAAGAAAAAAAGGAAAGAAAACTTTAAGCAAAGGATGGGGCAACCCTCCTCTAAGGCATCTCATTCAGTTTCCCCAAACGTTGGCAAGAACTCAAATACCTTTTTGTGCCAGTAACTGTTAACTAAGGCGTGCATTTCCTGAGAAACGTAATAATGAAAATTAAAACAAGGAATAAACAAGCAATGGGCACGCTGCCTGTTTCTGCTTGCTGTGCCGGAGAGGATGAGTAATCCGGACAGGCTGATGGGGGGGGGGCGGGCTGCGAGCAAATGCTGCCGCAGGGAAAACGCGCCCCACGGGGTGCATGGGGGAGGGGCCTCGCAGACGGAGACAGGACCATTCACAGGCCTAGCTTTATAAAAATCAAAGAAACAAAAGGAAAACAAAAGGAAGAACAACACAAGGGTGGTAGCAGTTCTCTTATGTCCCCCGACCTGTAAACACCCTCTGTGGGAAGTGACATTTCATGAAATGGATGGGTCTTTTATTTTTCCCAATCATGATTTTTTTTTTCTTTCTTTTTTCCAGACCTACTGCCTGGCTTGCAAAATGACTCATTACAACTAGGAACCCTAGAATAAGAAATGATGCTACCAAAAATATTTTCGAAGACTTAAATTTTTATAAAGTGGAAGTGGGAACTGGGAGACCTGTGAAATGCATAGTATTTCCTCCAAGGCAAAAGGCCGAGTTTGAAAATCCACTTCCGGGACCTGGTGAACCGTCGTCACTGAGCAAGGGCAGATCCTCTTCTTCCAAGTGGGAAAGTCACTGGGACTTGGGTCTGATAAAGCCGAGGGCCACTCGGGATCCCCGTGCTCTGTCCTCCCCGCCCCTCACCGGCAGTGAAGGATGTCCTAGGAAGGCACACATGGGCTGGACCATTTCACCGCCGAAGCCCCTCCCAAGTCTGTATTTTTAAGATGAACTAAATTCCTCAGACTAGTATGGGCGTAGTACAGGGTTGGGTGGGGGAACAAAACCATTTTCCATTCAGGGTCATCCTGGATGCTCACCCAAACCTGCTCTCCACCCGGATAAAACCCTGGGAGAAGCATAGTTTATGGCTCTCGAGGTTTCCTTGGGTTGACCAAAGTCCTAAGGGTGGCCAGTCATCCGAAATGACTGAATCAAACATTTCTCACATGCGGAGCTTTAACCAATATTTCACTTATTATATGTACATTTAAAAAAAATCTTTTAAAGAAAGATTTTTAGAGCCGACATCAAAGAACAACGTGGCCAGCTCTGCAATAAAACACACGGTGCGGCTGGGTCAAGCGGGGAGCCACAGACCTCTTGGTGACGCTGGGCTCTCGACTCTTAATCAGGAGATGGGAACTGGCCACAGAGTTTTATCACTTCTAAGGGTGAGGGGACAGTTTGGGGTGGTCACTGTTGAGACAGTGCGATTCTGCTGGGGTATAGAGATACCACAGAACATTCAGAATTGGGAGAAACAAGAGAAAGTTCTGTTGGTCTTGGTCAGCCCTGGTTGAAGGGGAATACAGAAACGTTCAAAGCCAGGAGTCAGCAAACTTTTTTTCTGGGAAAGGGCATAGAATAAATACCTTAGGCTTTGTGGGCCACAGGGTCTCCTCCCAACTCTTAACTTTGCCCTTGCAACATTAAAGCCGCCCAGAGGATGTGCAACCAAATGGGCATCGCTGGGGGCCAACACACCTTATATATATGTATACACTGTAATTTGGATTTCATACAACGTACGTATATTACAAAATGTAGTTTTTCTTGTGATTTTTTTTCTGTTTAAAAATGTGAAAGCATTCTTAGCTGCAGCCCCTACAAAAACAGGTGGGAAGGAGGCAGATTTGGCTTGACAGTGTAGTTTGCCAACCTCTGCTCGAAACAATTCTCACATCAAAGACATTTGTCATTCAGCTGCTCTGAAGAACCTAACAGAATTTGTGGGGGGGGTCCCCGTTCATTTAAGTTTCTCAGTCAAAAAACCCATCTGTATACAACTCACAGAGAACTTAACAGCCGGATGCTCACCCCACCCCGCCTCCCCGGCTGGAGGCCCTGCCCAAATTCACCAGGGCTCCTTCTACACAGGAAAATCTGCCAGGCCCCGTGGCTCCTGCACACCTGTGAATACTTACACCAGGATCTTACTAACGAGACAGAGGAATAGCGTGAGGTTGGCGATCTCTAACCTAGCTCTCCCAGAAATTGTATTCAGGCTGTGAATACAATTTCTGCCCAAACCTCAGTTTTCCAAATCAATTCTGCAGCATATGGTGTATAACCCTACTGAGTAAAGGACTGCCTGCTTTAAGGAAAATAAAGAGAATTGCTTGTTTTTTCCAATTCCAATTTGTATTTGAATGATCTTTCTTTAAGTGCTCATGTATGCCATTCAAACAAGGATTTCCACTGAGACCCCTGGCTAGTTCTGCCTTGCTCACAGACGTCACAACGGCATCTCACTTCAGGGTGTCCATTCTGCGAGCTGCAACCTTCCCCGCCTCACTTTGGTGCTTTTCTCCCCCCTCCCCTACCCCGCCATCACAACAAGGAAGGCAATGACTCATCCCGGCTTGCTCTTACCTGAGTATTGCCACACCGCCCTAGAAACTAGCCCCACTGCTCTGTGGCCTAATTATCTCTGTGGCCGCCACTCTCCTATTATGCTGAGGCTGCTGGTAACCAACGTGTTACCCAGAAATTTTAATCAGAGAATTTTGAAGCAGAAGGGACCTTGGAGATCATTTAAGACCAACCTCCTCGATATTTAGACGAGAAAGTGAAACGATGAGAAACTATGACTTGCTCAAGGTCACACTGTTGAAATGGGACCAAAATCCAGAGCGAGTGCCTGACTTAAAGAGATTCCAAATTGCTTTTGTCCTCTTTGGAGTCAAATGTGGAGCTGGGGCAAAGGCGGTCAACGACGTGTGAGCCCTGTTTGTAAATGGCGGTGAAACACACTTCCTGTCGGAGAGCTTCTGCTGGAGTTAGTCTCGTACAGCAGAAAGAAGTAAAAGACCCTCAGTGACCTTTCAATTAATACCTGGGCTGAAAATACAATGAGGGTTCCCAAAGGAATCAAAATTGCATCTACGGACGTGCAATTTTCGCACTGCATGACCAGTAAGCGACCTCCTCCGCAGTGCCACCTTCCTGTCTCTTTTATTTAAACCTTCATTTAAAATTCAGAAGCTAAGCACCTCCTGCATATCTGTAGTAGCAGATCAGTCCCACTGCTTAAACTCTAAATCACTGGGCCTGGGGCTTTATGACTCCTTAGAGGGAGGCCTTAGCTTTCATATCATACTAAGACAATCACAAAACAAAGTTTGATTTTTTTTTCTTCTCCTCTTTGGCAAGGGGTTTGGAAAAGTGCAACTATAATGGGGTGTATTTCAGCAATTCTAAGATGCGCTCCTGACTCCCCACTGCACGTCTGGAGACCCCTGGACTCAAGAATGTGTCACAGTTTAATTAGGAGCGTTTTTATCTTTCTTTCTTAGAAATCCTAAAATAATACTTATCGTCAAGGGCATCTTAGATTCAATGAAATACCGCAGTTAAAAAAAATTTGGTTATTGACTCTTGGGATGGTTTGGAAAATAGGAAATCCATCACCTACGTGTAGGGCTGTCAATCTTTTCCTGGAACTCATTGTGAAAACTATAACCTGCAGTTTGATCTACCAAACGTTGATTTTATGGCACTAAGCTGCTTTCATTATGAAAAAGATGACTTTTTCAAAAGAGCACACAAAAGCAATGAACATGAATCATGATGGAAACAATGGGTCCACACACCTATTCATACTGTTAACATTTCACCACTATGCGTGAGTTCTCTTCTGTGTCACAGTCATCCGTAATGAGGACGTATTAGCATTTCAGTAGAACATTCAATCGTGCCTGTGCTCAGACCGAGTTCCTCCACAAACACAGATGTTATACGTTATAAACTCCTGTTTATGAAGGGATGATTGAAAATCTACCTGCCAGCTCATATAATAACATTTTTGTTATTGTTGCTTCAAATGGAAGGTAATCTTTTCTGAGAATGACAAATTTGAGGTCGGGTTTAAATTTTCGCAATAACAAAAACAACATGCAGTCTCCCTTTCTGATCCGGGTGTTTAAGGTGACAATAAAAATATCATTTTAATTTCTGAGACTAAAACTTTTTTCTTTTTTTTTAGAAACTTCAAAGTGCTTTACTGAATTATTTACTGGATGAGATAATTTCAAGTGATTCTCCCTTCACCTCATTTGCAACACAGTTTCTGTCTTTAAAAGTATGATAGAATAAGTAGTAACTGGAAATGAAGCACTTACGTTTATAAAATACTGCTTTAAAAGATATGTGGGGCAGGAGTTCATAGATCTTTTCTAAAACAGTGGCTTCACCCACTAACGCGGCATTTACATTCCAGACTTGGACGACGTCCTCTCGGTCCCGAACGCTGACGCTAACTCCTATTACTTCGTCATCTGAGGGGAAAGCGAGGGGAAAAAAGAAATGAGTGACCATTTCAAAGCCGCCGGAGTAGGTTTCTAAGCACTTATCACTTTATCAGTCAGTTATGGAGAAGATGGTCAAAAGAACTTGGCCCACAGGACTCGTCATAAATTCTATTTCTAAGGGGAATCGCAAGTAAGCAAAAGCAAGGGAGCGGGCAAAAGCTGTAGCGGTCACATTATATTTGTCTGGGGACTGAGATAAACACAGTGTCCTGGCCAAAGAAACTTTCCAGATAAGTAATTTACCCTTTTTAAGATGTTCCCAAAGCTTTTGACTATTTCTCATTTCTGTGTTGATGAGACTTTTTCTAAAACACATTGCATAATGCTCGGCCCTCTGAAAGCCAAGTGAACTCAAGTGAACTTTTCCTCGATGCTTGACTATCTTTGTTAAGAACATAGCAAGTATTTCGCCTGACTTCCTGACAGTCATTCAGAGATCTTGGGGTGGTTAGTGGTTCGTGCCCCAAAACTGACTTGGGCCCTGGCTGCGTGCTCCGAGTTGCTCATCCTGCTTTTTGTGGTTTGCCTGTCTGCTCCTTTCCTATTAATCCGTCCTGCTCCTCTAGTGCCTCTCCCTAGCCATCCCCGCTTCCGGTTCAAACTGTGGGCTAGAGAACCAATGACCACCTGTCAGCACTGTGTACAAAGTAAGAGTACGTATTTTCTAAGTGTGGCTCTGCTATTGCAGTGCTTCAGCGAATGGGCGGAGAGCATTTATCTGTTGATTAATGTAGGTCTTAAAAAAAAAACCCAAAAAAACTAAACTAAATTCTAGATGTGGGGCTCCTCTGCAGATATTTCAGAATGGTGGCTGGGTAAGTAAGGTTTTGCACTGTCCTAAGGAGCCACTTTGTGTATATTAATGTGTGGCAAAATGAGAGGAGTAAATAGTTTCAATTCCTGGCTTCCATGTTTGTGGCATAAGACTGAAACAGGGTCACCTCTCTGCACCCATACACTCAGCATCAATAAGCAAAAGGTGAAAGGTGAGCGTTACTGAAGTTTGGAAATTCTACTTCAGTTACTATGTTTTGCCGAATTTCCCTTATTTACTGTCAATCTGTACATCTCAATATTTACGCCATCAGTTCTTCCAATTGCCTGCTGGAGGGTAAGAGGGTCCAGCATTTAAATTTAAATGAGGACATGTCCTACTTACTAAAGGAGTTCACCATCAGTAAAATAATTCCTTTCTTTCTTCCATCTTCCCCTTCCCGCCTTCATTCCTTCTTTCCCTCTCTTCCTCCTTTCCTTTTTAAATAAATTCGATTCTGGTTAAATATGTATGACTTGATCACTAAATAACTCCATGTGTAGAAATGTTTGAAAGCTGGCAGAATCAGTCTCCGGCATCAGAACTTAGGTCGGTGGCCACCTTTGAGGGAAGGGAGGGCGAGGCGGGATTCTCGGGGGCTAGTAGTGTTCTGCTCCTTCATCTGGATGCCAATTATAGGGATCTGTTCACTTTGGGAATATTTATCAAGCTATACACATTGGCATTTGCATCCTTTGCTGTATACATGTCACATTTAAACAAAAATTTCCCCCCAAAATAAATAGTACCTGATCATGGCCATCCAGAGAAACTTATTTTTCCATCAAGAAATCTGTCTTATGTACAGCTTTCTGATTTTTTAATTGACCTTCAAAACGTACTTGCTAGGGCTCAATGTTAAATTTCATGTGAACATAAAATCAAGTAAAGAGGGAAGCTTTGGGGTTTACCACTTTCAAGAAGAGTCGTCAAGACACTAGCGTGGCCTTTTAGGGAAAGATGGGCATTTTCCAGTCTCTTGGTTCTGCCCATGTCTACGTTCTTGGTCAGAGGGCACTGTAACTGATGGGTGCTGAAGATGCTAAACTGTCAATATTTCAGTTTGGCTTGGATTTTGGTACTCAAGATGTAGCCTCCTAGCACAGCACGTGCAGAAACAGCATGGTAAAAAGGCAGCAGCTCATGTTTAAAGGAAGATCCAACCACAAACACGTAACATTCATAAGGGGAATGAACCAACAAAAGCCTGATCGGTTTAGGGTACTGGCAGCAGATGAGGTGAGAGCTCGGAGGAGCCGCTGTTTAAAGATGGGGGAAGTGAGGACCAGAGAGGTTGGCTGAACTGGTGCAGGTGCGAGAGCTAGGTTAATGGAAGAGCTAACGGTTAATAGTTAATGGCGCTCTCATTCCGAAGTCAACCCCAGAACAATAGGTCTTCTTTACTCAACCCTGGCTGTTTATTACGACTTAGGTTATTTTCCCAGGTTCTGGTTCTGGAAGCAGGAATAATTCATACAGAAAACTTCCTCCCCCAGGGATTCCTGTGTTTATAATTATACCAAAGACGTATTTTTGACTACATATTGTAAAGTTGCTAACTACTCCCTATGAAAACGGAAGGAATCTATACTTTTAAGACAGTTTCATCGTAACCCGGGTTTTGTTTTAAGTGAATCAAAAGAGGTGTCAAAATTAAGAAAAACAGGTGGGAGGGTATAGCTTAATGGTAGAGTGCAGGCCTAGCATGCACAAGGGCCTCGGTTCAATTCCCAGCACCTCCACTAGAAAAATAAATAAATAAATAAAGCCCTCCCCCACCCCCAAAAAATTAAAAAAAAAAAAAGAATTAAGAAAAACAAAAGTAGAACTACTAGAACTGTTAGCGAGATAATTCTGAAACCTGCCATGGCACTGGCTAGGCCTACAGGGGTTCCCCAAGGTAGCGCCATCTAAGAAGTGTGAGATCAAATCAATCAATACCAATTAGTTAAAAAAAAAAACTGTAACAGAAAGCTGAACAGAAAAAATGTTATTCTCAATGTTACCTCAGAAGCATCCAGAAGGAACTATCCCAACAGGAAACAGAACTTTAAACTAGAAATTCAGTTTTCCTCTTTGAGTGGCTTCATGACAAAAAAACAAGGCAAAATAGAACTGGGGTAGGGGATATTACAAGGTGCAAATGATTAGGTGTAAAATACGCTCGGGGAATACAGTCAATACCGTGTAATGACTATGGATGTGGCATAGCCTTTGAAAACGAATCGCTATGCTGTGTGCATGTAACTTACGTGGTTTTGTGCATCAACTATACTTTAATTAAAAAAACAAAACCTAGCAAAATAAAAACGCACTCACAGGGCTCTCAGAAATTCACGCAGTATTTGAAAACGGTCTTCCAAGCAAAGTCCTGAAGGCTTTACCTTTCAGCCTCTTTGTGGGATCACAGGTAATAATGGTGACTCCCCCTCACCTCCCCTTTATCGCTCAGTCTGACTAGAAGGGACAGGAGGAAGGGGCAAGGATGAGAGGGACAAAAGGGATGGTGATACCTAACGACAAACTTCACTCGACCACAAAGGCACTTGTCCCTTCTGGAAGAATTGAAACGGATATAAGAAATCTACCCCAAATTGTGTTAAGAGCCCTTGGAATGAATATAATGTATGTCAATTATATTTCAATTAAAAAAATTCTTTTCCTGTCCATTTATTTTAGACAGATGGTCGTGGCTACTATTAAGATGAGCTATAAGTGGGAAAAATACAGAAGCACATACACGTGTATATAATGTACACATATGTAAGTATACATATGTACATATACATATAACTCTAAATACCATGATCACATGAGAAAATCTAAGGAACTTCACAGGTACAAAGTGAACAACTTCAAAATACATAAAAAGTCAAACCACAAAAGCATCAAGCACCAGCCAAGCGTGCGGCAGTGGGGGGACCAGGGCTGTGGGCTTCATTACCTGCGGCCGCACAGTCTGTGAACTGCTCCCCGATAGTCGCTAACAACAACTCCTTCCAAACTGTGGACTGGTGTGGGAAAAGAATAACAAACAAACAAAAAACAAAGAAAAAAACATTTATTTTTAAACAATTAACTTCAGGAGCTACACAAGTCACATTTTCTTTAACGTCACATGCCCTTCCGTGCCCTTATCTGGAGCCCGCAGACCTCTTTAAATCACAGGTGTAAACACTCACATGGTGGCACCTACTATGTTTTAACTTTACACAGATAGACAAAAGGGATCCCAAGTCACAAACCCCATGTCTGGACAACTCGGTGTCCAAAGTCACAAAGTTCATTGCTAGGGACACCCCTAAAGAAGGTCAGAAGAAAGTGGGGAAAATACATTCAAATGACTTTCCGCCTTCCAATATCTTTACCTCTGGCTGATTCAGAATGCATCATCTGGTTGTAACTGAAGATGATTAGTAAAATCCTTCTCTTTAAAACTCTTCCCTGTTTTTTTGTGCAATTTATAAGGTACTTCCAAGGTTACCCAAGTGAAGAACATTTAAGGACATTTCTGGTTTATCTAACACCAGAGATTTGCAAGTTTCCATTCACTTGAAGGCATCCTGTTCCTGCTAAATGACTGTGTGTGTGTGTGTGTGTGTGTGTGTGTGTGTGTGTGTGTGTGTGTGTGTGTGTGTGTGTGTGTGTGTGTGTGTGTGTGTGTGTGTGTGTGTGTGTGTGTGTGTGTGTGTGTGTGTCCGTCCCAGGGAGAAACTCTGGCATCTCGTCTACTGAAGTCATCCAATCAGCAGCCAGCATCCATGCACAGGTAACTGGAGGCCCACAAGTTCTTCCAGCTACTCCTCCTCGAAAATTTCTGGGTCCCATTTCTCTTCCTTATTGTGGTCCACAGGCTCTGAGCTTTGCCAGCACTGGGTTTGAATCCTGACAGCCAGCTGGGTCTCCGTGAGCCAGGCGGGATATCAGTCTCTGAGCATCAGTCTCCTTTGGTGAATAGGGACTAATAATAGGACTGACCTCCCAGGGTTGCTGTGACCATGAAATTAGTCCACAAATGCGTTGGAAGGGCTCAGCATTGTGACTGCAACAACAGGACTCGCGAGTTCGGATCCATTCCATTGCATGAATAGCTGTGGGCCAGCTCTGGACCAGGTGCCCAGTGTACATTAACCAGATTAAGAGTGTGTACTATCATGTTCTAATGAGCTGAAAGCAGCCTAGCTGAATGTTTAACCAAGACAACAGCAGTGAGCCACTGTGACCTTTACTCTCAAGGGGGGTTGTCTTTTCTCTTTCCTAGAGCCTCCGTTCTGGTCCACTTGTCTCCCATCTAGACACCGCCCCTTCCGTTTTCTGTCTGTCACACCTGCTGTCTCTTGTGCTGTGAGTGGTGAAGATGATGCTGCGGGGGGGTGGTGGGCGGGGATGGAACGTTCCCTCTCCCGTGTGAATTCAGACCGGGTGACAATTAACACTGGACTGAGCTGCCTGGGATGAGGACATTGCTACAGACATGAAAGCATTATCATTTGTGACTCAAAGTGGTCAAGAGAGCTGACGAGGAGGGTGAGGACAAAAGTGTCTTTCAGATACCCTTCACCCAACGTTGACATCACGATTGTTTCTACTTGAATTCAAGGTCTAGCGTGAGTAAATAGAGAACACAACAAGGAAAACATGTTCTTACTGAAATTAAAAACCACCTTCTCTCTTTCTGGGGTGGGCAGGAAGAGCTCACCAACCTTCCCCGGTTCGTGAGTTGCTCCCCTGACACTTCTTCAATTACATATGTCAAATAACAGGAAACCCTGTAGCTATGCATCTTAATGAGAGTTTGCATCTTTAACAAACAAACGGGGTCATAGCTTCAGATTTGCGCTTCTAGAGAAAAGAGGCCAGGTCACGCCTATGGGTCTCTGGAGGCGTTTCAATGCTTTGAGCTTATCCACATGAAAGAAACCACGAAAAAGGTGAGTAGCATCTGCCCTTTCATCCATTTTCAAAGACGCTTTGGGTTTCCCAAGGCTTAAGAATAGATGTGAAGGTTCCTTTTCAGCCAGTACAGTGAATTAGAGTCCACTCCTGGGAAACCCAGGTTTCTGGGGTTGGACCACAGCCCACGGGCACCACGCAGGCCGTCCCACCAACCCCGTTCTCATCAGCCCCAGAGGGAGACTGGGCACGGCCCCGCGGTGAAACCCCAAAGAACCGCGAGATGCAAGGCCTCCCACGCATGCCCACCCTGTGTGCCAGGGTCGTCCTCAGAAGTGCCTGTCCCCGCGGTGGGGAGAGGAGGAGCCTTTGCTGGGTAGGCTCCTGCCTCTCACTATGTAAACCAGCTTCCATGTGCTAGTTACGGCTGGGGCAGAAACAACGGCCACAATCAGCTTTTCTGCAAACGTTACGAGCACGCAGCCGTCCAGACTACATGATGCAGTCACACGATTACAACCATTTCTATAGAGAATCACAACATATTTTCAAGGTGACCGTGGAAGGCAGAAAACCACCATGGGCAGAACAGAACTTCTTACCCCCGGTCCTGCTCTGAGTCTAGCGGGCAGGCTGTCTAAAACGCACAAGCGGTTCATCACATGCAGCCAGCTGCAACCCCAAACTTAGCTTCCAGGAAAGTTTCAGAACAAACCTACCGTGCTGTCCTTGGGGACTTTCATCTTCCACACGCCACCCTTTGCATTGCTCTCCTCTTCCCTGGATCAAAGACCAGCGTTCAAAGTTACTCTCATGGGTTAAGTAGTTCCACATACATCCAGTTTAATGATGAGGTGACGTTAAAAACAAACAAAAAAACCACAATGGAGCTTTCTTCAATAAACTCTCCCCCATTTGCTTTAATGGAAGCAGATGCAGATGGAAGAAAAAGGAAGGGGGTGGAGATAGGAAGAGAAGAAAGTGGGATTTGGGGCCACAAGGGCGGGGAAGGTGATGGGACACCAAGTTCTCGTCCTCAAGGAGGTGGTGATGAGAGGTGCTCTAGACTATCTGGGGATGGACAGACGAATTCAAGTGCTTCATGTGTGTGAAGGCCTTTACATTCTGATGTCACGTTCATGACACCATTTCATCTGATTCTCATGTCAACCTTGTGTCCTATCCTAATAGGACACCCACTGTTCCCCTGTTTAGGAACTGCCCCCCCTTCTGGCAAAAGCACCCCGATTTCCCTTTAAGGAGCTACTTGTCCCCTACTCTCATGTCAGACCCTCTTCGATATGGTTGATTCCATATCTGAGATTTAAAGATGGGCTCATGACCCAGGTTTGCCTTTTGAGAACACTGCCTCCTTCGAGTCTTTGTGATTGGCCAGGGATGGAAAGCTGGCCCACAGGGGACCAATGAAAGCCACCCTGGCATTTCATTGGGGCTGGTGAATGCCGACATGGATAGACTTGGAGGGTGTAGACTGGAGCTTATGAAGTGGCAGAGCCTGCCTGAAAACTAAACCAATGGAGAGGAAAGCAAAGCAAATCTGATGGACAGGGTCAGCTTCCTAATAATGGAGCATCCAGATCTGCCAGAAATCAGCCCTCCCAGTAGCCTGCTCAGCTACAGGAGCCAAAAACTTCCATTTCTTGGCTCAGCTTCAGTTTCTGTCATTTGCCACTAAAGAGCTATTAGTAAGTAAACAGCTTAGAATAGTCAAGGGACATGATACAAGGATTTACTACTAACTGGGACTCCAGCCTAGGCAAACTGGCTTATGGTCCACCACCCTCAACACTACTCCAAACTATTAAAGAAGAAAAAGACACCTTCCCCTCGACCCTGGGCCATGATCAGTATCCTACACTTTCCGTGTGGTCCACGTGAGATACGCCTGAGGAGACAGGATCTGTGTTCAACCGGACAATAGGTGTGGGAACCAGATCTGTTCCTTCTTCCAGCCTATTAGCTTTTTCACCCCGCTGTCCAGGTCATGACTGAACAAGCGAAAGAACAAGTCCAAATGATGCCACACCCCATACAAAGACCTGCATCATACTGTCCCTGAGCTAACGATGAGCTGTTTATGGGGAGACTGCAATGGGGCGCTCAGTGCCGGGGTGCTGGGACAGCTGCTCATTGTCTCAGAGCGCAGGGGGAAATGGGCAGGAGGAAAGGGGCTTACTTCAAAATTAAGTCATAGCTAAAATGCCTTTCCAACAATACTGGGAGAAATCCACTCTGGTATTCCCTTTTGGCATGAAGCAAGTCTTTTATTAAGTTCACAACCATTTCCCTCCCACCTTCACCTCAAATTACATGGGAGACACTTACCAAAGTGGTCGCCTCTCTCCTCTCATTAAATGGTAACTACATCTCAAAGGCAGGCTAGTCACAGGAGGGATATTATTGTACACACTCCAGAATATCTTTAAAAGAAAAACACTTTGTTTAATATACCAGTACTGACTTACTCAGTCACTAGATTATAAAATTAATGCATTAACGAAAACAAAATCAGATTCTCATTAGGTCCCATGCACTCACACTAGATTTTTCTCAGTAGTCTAATTTTCTGCTAGAACGTGTAACATCAAAGAATGTTCCTTTCTGGAGTTGGGCCAAGCTGTATGCTTCAGGAAGCTATGGTTATCAAGTGAACATTTCTATGCAGTGTGTCTCCACATAAAACTGGGTAAGGATCCTCTAATGATTTTTCTGGCAGGTAGACGGCAGCTACTGAAGCCTGCAGAGCTGAATACATGTACTGAACCAGCTTTCCTTACCACACAGACCCCGTCTTCTACCTAAGCCGAGGAGTCTGGTACACTTTGGATCAGAGGGTGGGGTAGAGAGAAGGCAGAGAGGGACCAACCACCTTGTGTGTTCTGTCCTCCTCCCCCTCTTCCAGAAGGAGAAGGGAAGAGCTCAGTTGCCCTAGATACAGGGCATCATGGACCCCACGTTTGTGTCCTCTCCAAACTCACATATGAAACCTGAGCCCCCATTGGGATGGCATTGCAAGGGGGGTCTTTGGGAGATAATTAGGCCTTAAGAATGGAACCCCACGGTGGGACCGTATCCCAATAAGGAAGGGATGGAGTCAGGCTCTCTCTCCACCCTGTGGGGCTACAACGAGAAGCTGCCTGCCTATCTGCAAATCCAGGAAGAGGCCTTTACCAGGACCTGCCCGTGCCGGCACCCTGGTCGCGGGACTTCCAGCCTCCAGAACCATGAGAAATCAATGTTTGTTGTTTAAGACCCCTGCTCTATGGTATCCTGTTATAGTAGCTGGAACTAAGACACAGAGTGGCTGGTAGACAGAAACATTACATAAAAATCAACAACAACAACAACAAAAACAAAGGTAACAGCAGGAGTAACAGTAGCAGTAGAACTTTTACAGGTTTATGTAATTCATCCTAATGACAGTATCACCGGGAGGTACAATTACTACCCTTGTTTTACAGATAAGGAAACTGAGGCACAGAGTAATCAATCTGCCCAAACATCCCTGTTTGGTATGACCATCAGGATCAGGACAAGGATTATGTTTCCGAAGAAGAAAACTCTCCCCAGTTTATACAGAATGGGCCCTAGAATCACTAACTCTATGCAGAGAATTACTACACAAATGAGAAATGTTCTGCATGGTGAGGTAAGTCAAGGGTGATCGTCTGGATCTCCTAGTGGATCTGAGACCAGAGCAAGAAATGAAACAATTAGAAAAGGGAATCCTAGGGCACCGTGAACAAAGAAGCAGAGGTGGGACGAAATGTTACGTGTTAAACGAAAACCCTTACAGAGTTGTCTGAGCCCACGTTGTGTAGAATGAAAGCCGAATGAATTGCAAGGGCAGGAAAAATGAACGGGAAGATAAAACTAAAGGCGAAAAACCACCTGACAACAGATTTATTAAGAATATCTTGGGTCCCTTATACTAAAACGGTGCTCATGTAGGGAGCAGCTAAAAATAGATTTGTAATAAGAGTAGATCCTGAAACAGACATCTGTCTTTGGAGAGATACCTACCTTACAAGTGGTCTGCTCTCAGTGCAAGTGCAAATAAGATTATTTCACTATTTCAGTTTTAGTCTGTGGGGTGAGTGTGGACACGCAGAGCTGGAATTTGAAGCTAGGCAGGTGGATTCCAAACCCTTGTGTTCTTAACCACTAAGCTGTTTCCTCTGAAGATATTACTACACGTTCTAGGCATAGCTTTCTTCAATCCTAGAAGCCATGAAACAGGCCGTGAGGCCACAGAATGAGGGACACCTGTTGAAGAGGTCCCACCAGCAAGTGCCCTTAATCACACTGACTCTGTCAGTAACTTGGCTCTAGCCTGGGACTTCTGCGCAGATGTGGCCATCACCTGGGCAGAATCCATAGACAAAATTATGCTAAAATAAAAATCCCTGCTTCCACCAAAATTATGCTAAAATAAAAATCCCTGCTTCCACCACCATTTGGTGTTCGCAAATGTCAAGTCTCCTGAGAGGCATCCCAGAACAGAGGACCTGCCCTCACACCCCTGCCAAAGTTCCTGATTCCTAATTTTTCACCCAGTGTTCGAAGCACCTTGGGGAAAAAACCAGCAAAAATCTTCTCCCGTTTCAAAGGTAGGTAAGAAAAACACATTAAGGATCATACTACGGTGTATAGTTTTAGAAGCTTCTCTTGAAAGCAAAAACAGACAGTTGATTTTGTTAGTCCTGGAAAGTCTGGTAGGAGGAGATGACAGCCCAAGAAAACCTGGTGACAGCCTGCACTCTGATTTAATGGACTTATTAAAGCCCATGCTTGCAGGTTTGTGAATGAACACAAAACGAGAGCGGAATATGTGGTGAGCCCGTTGAAAAGAGAGAGCCCTGTTAAAGTCCGTGGCACTAAGTCGATCTGTTTCCTTGTTGTAAACCTCATACAACGTGCGGGATGCTTGTCAAGCATGAATGACGGTGAAACAGCTCAAGGAAGGAGCTATCACACAGCCCCTTAGAACTTCTTCTTCCCCTGCAGAAGGGAAAGGGCTGTTTCACTGGAAGAATGCTAGTTCCTGCTCATAGCCTCTGTAACACACTTTTATTTTAGTTGATGCATCTCAATTTTACTATAAATAGAACCTTGCAAATAGATTTCAAAAGCCCTTAGACTTAAAATTAATTCTAAATGGTCTGCAAACAGGAGACTGCAGTAAAAGTGAGCACAATGTGTATTAGTAATGATGAAGTGTTTTTTTCATAAGCCTTAATGATAACCCGAAGAGAGGGAGATACGTCGGGCAGCGTTCATTCAGTCCACAGACGGGGCACTAGTGAGGGGCGGGCCACGGGGATGAGTCCCCGGTGTGGTTAAATTCACCAGACAACGGTGACCACTGGATAAATCCCCAGTCTACCCGTTCTGATTGAAGCGATTATGCTCCCCCTCAGTCTTTTGCCAAACAGATCATCAATCATGACCAGGAAAACTGGCAAATTTCCTCAATTTTCTACTGAATGTTTTGAAGAAGGAAAAAAGAGAATATTCTTGAAAGTACTTGAGAAGAAAAAAAATGCCATGTGGTGACAGACAACGGGGTGTAAAACGAAGAAAAACATCCAGCAAATATACCTCCAACCACCCCTCACCCCCACCCCCAACAACGTCAATCCAGGATTTCTTCCCAGGATCCTAGCACATGAATCACTGAAAGTATCTTTGAAATTTTAAACAAACATTTTTCTTCATCAGGTATTTGTAATTGGCTGGGAATTGCTCCTTACCAACTGAAATAACTGTATTTATGGGAAGGGCAGACAGAGCCCAGAAGAAAGAAGGCAACTAAAAGAAATTAGTGGATCTTTTTGATTCACAGCAGACACATCAGAATGAAGGCAAAAATGCTCTGACTTCGAGAGCTGGGTACTTGAGAGAGAAATGGGGTTTTCTTTGATATCCAGAAGGGCTTGAATTAAAGTGAGAACCAAAGTTTGGAGGATTGGGTGTAGACAAGACAGAAGGCTAGGATGTTAGGGCAATTCCCCACCACGCAGGAAGTCTATGAATGAAAAACAGAGACCGAGATGGGGAGCTAAGTGGGAATCACCCACCGAGAGAAGAGAAAAGTCTGGGGAAACAGAGCAGAACAGCGTATTCTCAGCTCCCTGTGTACAGCCCGGAGGTATATGTTTCTTGATTGATGTTACTATTTTCAAGGGCACAGGGCCACTTTGATGAAAATCCAAAGACATCGTTGGACTCAGAAGCTTATACACCATTTTAGTAAAGGTTGGTGAATTGTGGAGAGTGACCAGACAAAGGAAAGGGGGTTTGGGGCCCTTGGAAGTGGTATACTGTGGGAAAGTGACCAAGAAATATATGGTACATAATGGTTGTTTAATAGGTTATGCAGACTTAAGTGGTAAAAAACAAAGGGGGGGGATACTTTCATGAATGTAAACTTACGTCACCTTTAAAAGGGAAAATTTATGCCCTGATTTCAGGCAGATAGAAGGAGGACAGAGAGCTTCTCCAGGGTCTGCTGTTTCTCAATTGCCTTTATTTATTTTTTTATTTTTAAAAATTGAGGTATAATCAGTTTACAATGTTGTGTCAATTTCTGGTGTACATCACAACTGCCTTTAGTTAAAAATAATTCTTATGATAAAGCGGCATTTTGGGGGTGGCATATTCTGATCCCCTTTGCGAGACCAAGTTTTCCATCTGGAGTGACTAAATTACTTTCACTTTGCAAGATTAACTCTCCCCCATCCATCAACCCCCACCTGCACAACTGGCTTGTGACTATAAATGCTGACCCCATCATACACACTTATGAATAAATGAAATGGTAGTAATTAAAGAATCCTGTTACTCTGATATTAAGTCTGCGCTAGACAGAACTACGGAGCAAACCTGGCGGCAGGGCCTTCCTTCTCTCTTTCCAGTATGGGGTTTCTCTCTTTCTTCCCCCAACCAGCTCCCTGCACCCTAGTGGTTCGCTCCAGGCCGTTCTGTTGCAGGACGGCCCCTGCTGTGGGCTGTGCGCCTCCAGGGCAGTGAGGACTCTCAGTCAACCTTGCCATCACTCTCCATTATCAATACTGACCTACCAAACCTCTCCTTCCGAAAGGGACAGCCGTCCTCTCCCAGCGATTCGGAAAGCAACCTGCTGTCTGACCTTAATGACACTCACAACAACTCCATGACTTTCTGATAAGGGGTAACGCCTTGATTATCACTGGCCATACACAGGCACAGAAGGAACATTTTATTCATTTTAAGAGACTGTGTATATATGTATGTATGTGTGTGTATACATACACACACACACACACACACACACACGAAGACCTTCCATTTGGGAAAAATGATGCTGGATATCCACTTACAGAAGAACTATGAAGTTACTGATTTTTGTAAATTTAAGTAAAAAGCTGGTCAATTTACGGGACATACTGGGTAGGACATGGAACAAGTGGGACACAGTGCGGCCAAATCCTGAAGGTGGTAACCGAGGGGGGTTAGAATGTCATAAAGGAGCAAGTTTTCAGGGGTGGAATTTTGGTCTCATGGGAACAAGGGAGGCCTCCCTGCAAGTCGCATCTGGCCGGTAGCTCTTCTTTCTCCCACAGGTAAACTCCGGCTTGTTCAGAAGCTGTGTTCTATGCTCTATTCTGCACTGCATCCATTCAGGACATAAAAACACAGGAGAAATGTGGAAAATGTGCAAATGTTTACAAAAGAGTAAAATGAATCAATAAACGTCTGGAAAACATATCTAGATGAAAAATGGAATTTTCCAAGGAAGGCAAGAAAGTAGGAAGGAAATCAATCTCCAAGCAGAGAGCATTATTGTTGGCTGTGATGAGAGTGTCCTCAGCAGGGGTCACCGGGCCCCTCCACTCCTCAGTCAGGGCGGAGTAGAGAGCCAGAGGACTGACCTAGAAGAGGAGGGAGCTCCGGGCCCAGAGACACGGCATGACTGGCTGTTTGCACTGGGTGTTTTGGGCCACTTACTCCCAGCCTCATCTCTCCAGGTAATGCGAGGATAACAATTCCTCCCCCACCTCATCGACATCTCTGATTTGCTGAGAGCCTCAAAGCACAAGACACACTATGTCCTCACAGAAAGCAATCACTAATAACGCAAGATACTCACACTTCACGTCAATATGCGAGGGAAAAAGACACGACGAGGGATGTAGGTTTTTAGTGCTGACAGAGTGAGAGTTCAAGAATCAACATATAACCACAGAATAAAAAGACAGTGGGGCAAAAGCATGTCCTCAAATGACTTCAAAATCAGCACCCAGGCTAGTTCGTACATACTGAGGACGATTCACAGGTATTAAGGACACTCAGGCTGGACTCCCCCAAGTTACTGACAAGCTACACATGCTTTCACAAGTAGACATGTTAGCAGCGGTATATTCCAGGGAATAACTGCTTGAAATAAATAATCTGGAAGTAGCGGCACAGAGTTTTCGGATTTAAACCACAGCTGAGGAGAGAACAAAATGATGTTCTAATAGAAGCAGGCAAACATGGCAGATGGATTTATTATTATCCTTGGGCACGTACTGTGTGCTTTTTACGTCCCTGTGCCGTTTCATTTTCACAACCTCATGATACAATTGGTATTGTGATTATTCCTACCTTAGAGATGAGTAAACAGGTACAGAGAAGTTAAGCAACTTGCCCAGGCTACTGAGTGGCAGATGTGAGATCCACACCCCGGCAGTGTGACTGCCCTCCGTCCCAGCCCACACCATCCCCGGTAAACTGACGAAGTGGGAGGGCGGGATCCAACACTTTAGTAACAGCTGCCAACAGCTGAAGGCTCACCAAGCACCCAGCACTTCTGAGAACTATGCACCCTCATTGAACCCTCACTCAGCCTTAGGGAGTGGAAATTTCTATTATCTCAGTATTACAGACAAGGAAACGGAGGGGGACAGGGACACCAGACATAGGAGAGAACTTCCTGACCCCTTGGAGCAGTGTTTCATTATCATCCGCTACGCGGCAGCAGACCTTTCCCTAATCACTTTCTTGTGAGACTTTAATACCACGGCGAGGCTCTGTATCTGTGTTGTACTGTACGTGTATCTGTGCTTTACACACAAACACCGTCAGGTTTTCCTTGCCCCCTCTCCCCCAAGAATCAGGTTTTGCTCCCACTGAGAACGTGTGGCTGCAGTTTATGGGGTCCTTGTGTGAGCAGCCTGCTGTGACTCAGGAAAGTAGTTCATTTATTCATTCCTCATTCACTCATTCAATCCGTCAGTATTCATGGAGTGAAAGGAACCAGACGCAATACAGCACCGTGTGAGTCCATTTATAGGAGGTTCCATAAAAGACAAAGCCAATATATGGTGACAGAAATGTGAAGAGTGGTTGCCTCTGGAAGAGAAAGGCTGGAAGGTAAGGGGCACGAAGGAACTTTTCTGGCGTGAAGGAAATTTTTTCTAATCTTGATCCGAAAGATGGTTACACGTTTGTGTATCTTTGCCAAAATGTATCAAACTATACACTTAAGAAACCTGCAGTTACTGAATAAATTTTATCCCAATGAAGTTTTTAAGAATGTGCCAGCCTGGATACCCTGAAGACCCTGTATCACTTGCTGCCGGATACCAAGTGTTGCTCTGTTGTCATCATGCAGGGTCAGGGACACAAACCACTCCCTCGGTCTGACTTTATCAACGTCTTCCTGGAATCCCAGGCACAGCTCTGATGACCCAATGTCATAAAAGAGAGGAAAACGTGTAATGAGTACCTTTAAAAATCAGTGGGATCCAAGACCTCCTGTATGAGGACAAGCTTTAGAAGCAAGTGCTCTGAGCTTTACACGGTGGCCACTGGGAAGAGGTAACAAGGTCCGTAAGGGCCCTGGCTGGGGGAGGAGAAGTGAGGGGAGGCCTCTCCCGGACTCTGAGAGCATTTGTCCCTCTGGACCGAGGCCCACGTGCTGCCTTGTGACACGGCTTGTACTTGGCACTGAGTGCTTATTTACAGCAGCACTGTTATTTTGCTTTCTACATGCTAATGTCTTCTTCTCAATGAGATCCGAAATGGCCTGTGGTCGGGACTGTGTTTTCACAGCCGGCTTGGAGCCCTCCGTGGCCACACGTGGGACCTTCCAGTCGGGTTCCTGGGCTGTGTAACTGTGAATACTAAATTTTCTGAACCAGATACTGGGGGAAGTGTTTGAAAAAAGGACCTCTGTGCTACTTCTGTGCAAGTGAGAGGCTGCCTAAGAGAGACAATATGGACACCAATCTACTGGAATTTCTAAGACATTAAAAGATTTAGGGGCAGAACACGTGAACGGTTTCAATCTGGCCCTTCTTCAAAATTCAGGACATACAGTCAAGTTAAGTCGGAAGCAGCCTTAACAGCCTTATTTTGTCTACTACAGTATATTAAAACAGGGAGACACTTGATAGAATTTGCTTTTGAAGAAAACAGTAGTGTATCAACTAAATCAACTAGTTTTTTTTTTAAAAGAAATGTTCATCCTAGGAGTTGGACAGAGAAAGAACTAACAGAACTAAGAGCTCACCTTTTCTGAGAACTTACGATGTATCAGGTATCATGCTTAGCCTGGTATAAGCATTACCTTGCTCAGTCGTCACAAGCACCCGTGGAGGTAGATGCTACCATTACACCACTGTTACAGAAATTAAAGGGTTGATACCCCCCAACTTATGATGATGGAATGCGGACACGGAGTAGGAAACTGGTCTGAGCCCTTCCGCTTTCACGCTCATCCTGCCCTCTCTAAGTGACCTGTGATCTTCAATAGCCCTGCAGCCCTGCCGGTGCCTCTCACAGGTGGGAAACAAAGCTCAGAGAGGGAGAGGCTGAGCTGGTGTCTGAACGGGGACACTGACTGACAGGACCTGGGAAACATTCCGGTGGTAGGTAAGATTCAACAGGTCACCGAGAAAAGTGCAGGCCACTTGGGGGTGTGCTCAGCTGGCCTCTGGGGTAGACGTGGCCGAGGGCGGCTCTGTCAAAGTGGAGTTGAGAGCCGATGCCCGGGCCAGAGTGCTGGGTGGGGGCCGCCAGTACAGTGGCAGTTCTCAGGTGGGACGATTAAAGGTCCAACACACAGCCTCTATCTTCTTACCTGTACTGTCTGGACTGTGTAGATTTTCTTCAGATTGGACGCACACTCAGCTGCCGTGGCACCAGGGAGGGATCTGAGAAAACGCCAGCAAAAGAGCAAAGAAACAAGCAAAACAAGGAGTCAGTGTTCATGAAACATTCCACAATGTAGCTCTGCAGGTTTTCATACAAATCCGGTCTGAAACCACGGAAGTGGACATTTCTGGGGATGCTAGTTAGAACTGAAAATGTGAAGTTCCTACTTGGTGAAGTCATGTGTTTACGTCTCCTGAAAATAAGCATACGAATTCTGTGGAAATTTAATAGGAAAAATGAAAATATAAGAAAGGTATTGGAAACCTTAAAATTACATTTAAAAAAAAGCACTAAAATAACCATGTAATCACCATGCCTTTTGCCTAGGACATTGGATAGGAAACTGCGCCTGTGGTACAGATGACAATGACAATGTAGGGTCCTGACTTGGCTGTATGTTTGAAAAACACGTTAGTTCCTCGGTGGTAAATATTCACGAACTCTTGAGAAACCCAGTGACCCTTCGCCAACTTTAAGAAAACATGGTTACTAAAAGTCACCTCTCCTTTCACCTGAATTTGCACGTGTTTCCAAAATACTTGCCTTTAGAAAACACTTTCAGTTCTTTCCTGATTTAATCAGCTCGACTGAGCTCTGCGGCCAGAATACATTAATCTTTAGTTTGTCATATGTTCCACTAGATGGCAACATACTACAGGCTTATTTGCCAGAAAAGCCACCCGCCTGGACTGGCTTCACCCAGCACCACTTCCTGGGTTTGAGGGTAACATGACGTGGTCTCATCGATCTGCAGAAGTGCCGACTCTCCATCCCCGCCACCGTGTCTCTCTCTCTGTGTAGAATGAGCAGTTTGAGTTTAGGAAGGTCCAGATACACCAGGCCCAGGATGAAAACTCACCGCTCAAATAATGCTTGACAGCCCCACATATGGTTGTTGGTCAGAAATATGAGGCTCGCCGTGGGGAGCGTGCACTGGCTCACAGGTGACTCACTGGGATTTGGAACCCATGAATGGAATGCTCTTTACTGTCCACAGACCCTCAGAGACACAGTCCCAGGGCACCTGAAGACGCTGAACTCCCTGGACAGAGACAGCACAGACAGCGCAGAGAGCGGTGGATGCAGAGCAAGGGCCGGGCCCAGGTGCGGGCGAGTCTGAGGCATGGGAGCAGCGCCCCACAGACCGCAGTCCTGGAACTACGGCCCGGTCAGTGCTCCCGGGCGGCCGAGCCCCCTCAACTAACATGCACTTCTGCACGCAGCTCCCGAGCCCGAGGTCACTAAGGAAGCACAATCACGGACTGGTGTGCAGGCAAACGAGGGACCCAGCTGAGCAGGGGACGTCTGATGAGTAAATCCTCCCAGAACCATCAGCTTTACAACCCTTTTCCAGTTGTTTATAAATGCCCCGGACAGTGTTTTTGATAAAAGCAAATCCACAATAACCACCACGATTGGACTTTGCTGCCAGACCCGAAGCCTAAAATAACCACGCCGAGGAGTGTGGTGAAGGGTGAGGGGCCCCAGCAGCACCCGCGACGCCGGGGCCAGGGCCACGCTGCCTCCGCTGGTCTGTCCGCACTGCCCGGGCTTGGGGCACTTTAGTATTGACCCAGATGAATACTAATTTCGTATTTACTACAGGTTTTATGCTGTTTGGGGCTAAAATTACAAAAGGATGGGTGAAAAACATTTTTTAAAAAGAAAAACTTTTGAATAGCTTTTCACATGAATAACCTATTGCTTTTACATGAAAATCTGCTGGCATTTATTCCAATACTGATTTTTCTTCCTTTAAAAAGTTTACCTGACCTCTCCACCAAATATGCTCAGCACACATCTCCCCGGCTGCCCAAAGCACATGGCAGAGGACATTGAGGGCTCCTTCCCTAACGGGGTGAGCGTCGGGGTTGGTGTGTGTCAGGGTTGGTGTGAGGGTCCAAAGGAGGGGAATGTCCTCTGCATTTTTTTTTCATTTTTAAAACTG